CAGGAGGCCCTGTAGTGCAGTGGTTAGCATGAGCCTTCGGAAGGATGATACGTGGGTTCAAGTGCTGCCTGAGGTTCAAAGTCTTTCATATCACTCAGCATTAGGGGATATGTGACACTCTGATGCTTCAATATGAGTATCCTCGCAGCAAGAAATACTACAAAAAAATCGCTAAACTCAGTGTTTTCTGGTAGGCAGAAGTAAGGTTGATAACCCTCTCAGTACCGTGAACCCACGGCCTCTGCATCACTAATCCCAACGTGCTACGTCTATCAATGGTAGGCTGTTGCGTCTCACAATGCTGGCTGCTGCGTCTAATAATGGCACTCTGAGGGTTGGAGATACGGAGGAGGTGGAGCAGACCATCCATAGCTGCCAGTTAAAGAAGCAGGGATCGTGTGCCTACGATCCCGAAAGACTTAATAGCGAAATTTATTGAATACAACTCAGTACAGTGGCCGACAAATCGGTGGTATCGCGTTCCTCGGCGCCTGGGCAAGTCGAATCAAGAGGCAATTCACGCAGTCAGATAGTTCCATCACTTCGGCCAAAAAATATCACTGTGTTTACTGTTTATTATAGAAAACTGAGGGCGAAGCACTTTGTGTTGATCAATCCTTGAGGGATGCGCAACGCATTTGTCTTCATCAAGCATCGTTAGGGGTGACTGAGTGGACATGGCCTTTACAATGACTCGTGGTGGCCTAGCGATGTATGAAGTCTGTGCTGCTATCCTTCCAGGCAAGTCTCGCACTAATTCACCAACCCCAAGTAGATGGAAGGCTTGGTGACTCTTGAGAGGGATTAAACTACCGATCATCGACGGATCTGTCCAAGCGCGTCGCAGAGAACCTCAAACCACTGCGCCACACGCGCTCACAGTAAAAACAGCTGAGACGTTTCGTAGGTTTTGCCTTCTTCAGAGGCTGAAGTGATCAAACTAAACGGCAGTCTGTTCAGTCAAATACTTTATAACCTCGCCCAAAAGAACTGTTTACCGTTTGTTGTTTACTATGAGAACCAGAACCTGTTTATAATGTTTTGCTATCGAAATTATGAAAGTGTTTGGCTGAGTAAATTACCCCTCGAATTGATCTTTCCAGGCTCTGAAAAAGGCGAAAGCGCCAAGATATGAGCCAATATTTTCTCATACAGCCGTGTTTCGATGAATTCTACTAACAATAGCCTCGCCGATACTCAAGAAAAACACCTATTTTTTTCTCTCCTTGCCGAGCTTAACCGATAGTCAGTTTCGAGGATTTACTAAGCTTATTATGAATTTGGCTCCAAACATGGAAATCGAGAAAGGAACGAAGGCCCCAGGAAAAAATGACATAAATACGTCAAAATAAGCGGCTTGGAGTGATGTTTTGAGGCGGAAATCCCTCAAAGACGGTAGCACGAATTGATGTTAATCAGCCTTTCTTTTCCAATTAACTCACGCACTTACATCAATTCCTGCAAGAACAACAGTTATCTATTGTTCACCACAGGCCTTCACATTCTTCGTGACACATTCTATGCAATGCTATGAAAATACTTATGACTCAGTGGTTTTTTTTTGCTAGGTGGTCAATTCTCTCGTGCATCCGACTGCTCTTACAGGGTATTGTGATGCCAATAATAACAGCAGTATTTAGGTGAGTACAATTAACTTAATAGCACACCTTTATTTCAAGTGCTTTATTAAGACCACATTCAAATTTCAATATATCCTTTCATTATTATTTGAGCCAACTTGTCATGTGGTCTGGTAAGGGCTCTTGTACAACCCGAGACACGTGTTTCGTCCTTACAGACTCATCAGCCGAGCAGAACCCGTCGTCTGTTGATCTTTTTATAGTCAGTTCTCTCGGGAGCGTTACACTCCTTATAGAGAGTCATCGAAGACGAACGTTTTACACTCTATGTCAAGCGAAATTTCACCTAACACAGACACAGAGTGTAAAACGTCGTCTTCAACAACACTCTGTAAGGGAGCAGAGCTCCCGAGAGAACTGACTATAAAAATATCGAAAGACGACGGGTTCTGCCCGACCGACGAGTCTGTAAGGACGAAACACGTGTATCGGATTGTACAAGAGCCCTTACCAGACCACATGACAAGTTGGCTCAAATAAGAATGAAAGTAACTTAATAGTATTAGGTTGTCCCCGGCACTAGAGCAATAAACACCAAGCTTATTGATAAGAAATAACTGAAATTGCATGATTTTGGCATCATTCAATTGCGCACTTCCTTGCGAACATTTCGGCATACAGCTTATCTACTCCTGCTCTAAAATGGAGCTGTCTTGGGAACAAATTCGCTTGCTACTCATGCACGAATAGCGGCGCGTAGGGGAAGATGCTACTGGAGCGGCGCACAAAACTACGGGAGTTTGGGGTGATCATTCGATTGCAGAAAGGACGGCTACGAAGTATTTCACGATGTCCACAGTCAAAGAGAATAGTCTGGAAGATCAGTCGCAACTGGTTCGTCCACAGGAAACTCTATTAATCTTGCGCGCCGCTTCACTAGCATTTTCTTCTACGTGTCATTCATGCATGAGTAGCAAGCGAATTTGTTCCCAAGACAGTCCTCTCCTGGAGCAAGTAAAGGCAAGTTGTATACCAAAATGTTCGCAAGGAAATGCACAATCAAACGACACCAAAATCATGCAATTTTAGTTGCTTCTGGTTGATAAAATTGGTGTTTATTGCCCTAGTGCCAAAGCTTATGAAACGACCTAATAAGATAATAACACTAAAGTATTAACAAGATGATAATAATCGATAAGTAAGACAACGATTCAAAAAGATTAAAAATTAAACTGCCTTGAAATTGTGATAATAATCGACTAACCTAACAGGGAATGAAGCGAAAATTGGCCGACTTCTCCATGATAACAAAGTGCTGGAACAACGACGAATCATCTGAAACAAAAACATTCACAATAAAACTAGTAGAGGTCTCTTCCATTTTAGGCAAGTAACGCAGCGAATCAGGCCATAGCAAGTGATCTACAAAGTGATATCGACTGAGTAGAATATGGAGGGATGGGGAGGGGGGGGGGGATACACACACTAAGCTCTTTTCTAGCAAAGTAATGTGTACGAGCGCGTATGGCGCAGTGGTTAAGGTATTCTGTGGCGCGCGCGTGGTCGATAAGTCGCTACTCGACGGTCCGACGCCGTGCTTCAGGCTTACCACGTCTTCTACTTTACAAGGACTCGGGTAGCCTACGGCGTCGGTGAATTGGTATCAAACTTTTCCAGGAGGATAGCAGCACTCATTTGATACATCGATAATTCCGAGAGTCATTGTGAAGGCCACATATGCGCACTCATTCACCTCTAACGATGCTACGAACGGACTCGAACGGAAGGCGCTTCCCTCGAGGATCCATCAACGCCGACAGCTTTGTCCTATGTCTTTCGCAACAAAGTAGATTGGACTTCTAGCAAGTGATCTACAAAGTGATCACCGAGGCGGATATGAGAGAGAAACACAAGCACTGGGCTTATTTTAGACTACTAAATGCTGAACTGCGCAGCGAAAAACGCAGGTTTTTTCGGTAAAGACCTACACATTCTCCTCATGACTGCACAAGCTCTCAGAAAGGGAAATTCGTAAATCAATGGAAATCATTTTATTTGGCCGCGGATTGCGGTGTTATGATGTTCAAATAAACCCCATGATGTAGAGTGGTGTGCAAAAACGTTTGCGTCAGTCGGGATTCGAACCCAGATCTTACTCTTTCCAGGAGCATGTGCTAAACCGTTGCACCACCGACGCTCGTTTCACACTCCACTCTTCTACGCTACAACGCGTTATCTGTGAAAATTCCTGGATCGCACTGAAGCAAATCGAAGTGGCAAGGGGAATCTAGAACAATACCATTTCTTACGATTTTTTGCTTCGAAGCGTGGAGAGTTATTCTCAAGTTTAAGTGCAAATCGAAGATTTTGTTCAAAAATGGCTATTCTGTAAGTGAAAGTCCGCTAAATCCACTGCTACTTCTCTTGCAGTTAAACTAGCCAATAACTCTTTGTCTAGCCATTGAGGGTGGTACTGATGAGAATCTTGGTTCTAATCGGTTATTAGAAGACAAATGAAAAACTGATCTTATTCGCGGGAGAGGAACTTCCTTGAGGAGCGCTACTAACCATTCGAAAGCTAAGACTTGAGGTTACAGCGAAAAGTTCCTTTCCAGTGAATGAGATCGGGTTTTTCTTTGGCTCATCATAACCGATTAGAACCAAAATTGTCATCATTATTACACATAATTACTATACAGAGGGTTACTCACTGGTTCAATTGCAAGCGAAAACAGTGGATTAGGCGGTCTTCCACCTACAGAATAGCCACTTTTAGACGAACTCTCTAATTTCTACTCAGACTCAGAACATCTCTTCGCGTTCAAGCAAGGAAATCGTACGATGTGGTATGGTTCCAGAGCGATTTGTAGCGCATTCGTTGTCCCAGAGGGCTAACCACAAACACATGTTAGTAGATCAGAGATCATTGTTTACATAGCTAGGTAACCCCTTCGGGACCGCGGACCCACCTCCTCCGCATCTCTAACCTCTGGCGTGGCAACGCTGGACAGTATGCTCCACCTCCTCTGCATCTTAAACCGCCGGCTTGAGGACGCACTGAATGTATCACTGCGTACTTCAATCATATTACTATTGCTATTTTCCTACTTATAACAACATAATATATTTGCATATAACATAACATAAGTAAATAACAACAATAATACAATTGAAATGATACAAAATGCATCCATGCATTCCCACGCTGGAAGTTAGAATTACCGGCGAAGTGGAGCAGACCGCCCAGCGTTGCCACGCCAAGGGTCAGAAACGGGGCGGAGGTGGATCTACCGTCCCGCCGAAAGTTTCAAACAATAAAAAGGATTCAAAGACGAAAACTCGGCGAAAATTTGCAGGAGGTTTTGCGAAGAATAAATTTCTATATAGCGGCAGTATCGCAGACATAGTGATAGGAGAAAAGCCCCTCGGTGGTGCAGTGGTTAGTACGGTCCCCGGAAAGGGTAAGAGGCGGGTTCAACTCCCGCCCGAGGCTTAAAGCTTTGCACAATGCCCAACATTATTGGATTCATAATCATACCATCATATCACTAATGAAACGAGCAGTTAAGTAAGGAATTCCAGTCGATTTCATAGCGGTGACGCTTGTTTTTTCTTGGAAATTTGACTTTTTACCTTCTACAACTTGCTGCAAACGAATAATTGAAGGAAGTGCTGCGCCCGTATGATCTCCCTAAGGAAAATCAGAGCCCAAAACCCACAATAAAACTAGCTGGAGCGCAATTTTCTTGCGGAACCGCATTCCACCAAGAAGTTCTGCTGGGCTCACATGAAATGAAAAAGGAGTCTTGACGGCATTCGTCTCGATACTCAAGTGGTCACCATAAGATATGGTTACCGCCGGAAACCCGGAAATTTCTGTTATCAGATCGTTCCACTAGTTATGGCAGTCGAGCAATAAACACTAAGTTTATTAACCAGAGGTAACTAAAATTGCATGAGTTTGGTACCGTTCAAATGCGCATTTTCTTGCAAACATTTCGATATACAACATGACTGCACTTGCTTTAGGATGGACCTCTCTTGGGAACAAATTCGCACGCTACTCATGCACGAGTGGGCACGTGGGGGAAAATGCCAGTGAAGTGGCACGCAAGATTAGCCCTTTAGGGGCGGCAGGTGATCGATCGCACACCGCAACTCGCAAGAGGCGCGCGATTTTCGTTATTAGATTAGGATTTTCCTTCATTTGAAGAGTAAAACCCTAGGTTTTTTGTGTTATTCGGATACTCTATGATTTTATCTGAATGGTCATATGTTTTTCGTGCATATATAACTTTTCTGTGCGATATAAACGTTGAATGCAGAACGTAATATTCTGTTCGCATTTAAACCTTTTTTTGAAACCTTTCTAGAAAAAACCAATTACAACATCAAAACTCTCGAAATTCTGGTTGTCGAATGACTAGTAAAAGCTTGGCGAAGAGCCACATACAAGCCCCAGCCGAGCAAACAAAGCAAATTGAGAGAGTGAAGCAATTTTATTGCCACTGATATAACGCACTAAAAGGGCTTTTTCAATGTATATATATATATATATATATATATATATATATCTGAGATTTCAGGACTTAAGCTTTCGAACAGTTACCGAGTGTTTAAGAGAAAAGTTCTATCCAGCGAGGAAAGTCTCCAAACAATCGTGTACCTCAGGTGGTACACGTCGATCCTTAGGGGTTAATGGAGCTTCCTGTAGGCGACCCGAGCGCGACTGATCCTCCAGAATGTTCTCTACAGATTTGAACTTCGCGAACCATTTCCTAGGCGTCCTTTCTGCAACGGTATCATCGTCCCAACTATAAAAAATGTCGACTTATATATGAATCCTGCACGCCGCTTCACTAGCATTTACCCCACGAGTCATTTGTGCATTACTAACTGAATTTACAGCTCCATCTCAAAACAAATATAGGCAACAGATCCTTTCATTATTACCTGAGCCAACTTGTCATGTGGTCTGGTAAGGGCTCTTGTACAGCCCGATACACGTGTTTCGTCCTTACAGACTCATCAGCCGGGCAGAATCCGTCGTCTGTCGATCTTTTTATAGTCAGTTCTCTCGGGAGCGTTACACTCCTCAAAGATAGTGATCGAAGACAAACGCTTTACACTCCGTGTCAAGTGAAACCTTCACCCAACACAGAGTGCTGCGCACTCGATTGCTCTTTGGCGGGTACTATAAGGAGTGTGAGGCTTCCGAGAGAACTGACTATGAAAATATCGAAAGAGGACGGGTTCTGCCCGGCTGACGAGTCTGTAAGGACGAAACACATGTATCGGGCTGTACAAGAGCCCTTATCAGACTACATGGCATGTTGGCTCAATAATAATGAAAGGATCTATTGAAATTTGAGCGTGGTCTAAACAAAGCACTCGTAATAAAGGTATAATTATGATAAATATAGGCAAGTTGCATACAAAAATGTGAGCAAGAAAATGCGGAATTCTACGATACCATAACTATGCAGTTTCAATCACTTCTGGTTGATAAATTTGGTTTTGATTGTCCTAGTGCCAAAACTTATGGAGCCAAGTTCGACGACGAGAACTCCCATGGTCTCCTCAATCGATCGCGTCCGTGGCGGAATATTTCATACTTGTAGTGAGAAAAAAGCCAGTAGAAAAGGAGATCCGACGAGGAAAACCCTACTACAAAAACAAATGGTTTCCGTGTGGTTGCTAGGAAGGTAGGAAGAGTGGAAAGCGTAGTGTAGAATCGCGTTACGTACGCTCAACTCGGACATCAGGTGTACATTGGACTTTGACCTCGACTTTTAATCGCCATCGCCCCACCGTCCCGTCGAAACGACGTCTTTGCGCTGATTACAAGAAATGTCGACTGATATGAAAAACTCTGCACCTTGGCCGAGAGTCGAGCCAACGTCTCTTCCTTTGCGTGGCGCGTGCCAACCACTGCACTACCGAGAGTACTTGTTCTGCTATCGCACGCCTCCGGGAAGAGCGAGACACGAGTTCAACTCCTGACCGAGGACTGAAGTCTCACATATTATTCAACCTTTTTCTATAGGAAGTTATGACGTCACGACGCAGTTACCAAAGTGATAAGTAAAAGGATCCCTGTGGGCAGTAGTTCACTATTGGTGGAGTCGTGGCCGAGTAATTGCGATGCTCGCCGCGGCGCGCGCATGTGAGACCCCGCCCCAACACTCTTCTCAACAACGAACGCTCAGTGGAACGCTACAGCCTGGCTATCCTCGCGACTGCGAGGAAACTCACTCATCTAGTAGTCTACAACGTTCAAGAGGAAGACGAAAAAGCGAATTGAATGCTAGAAGTACTTGGATCCGCGCAGTGAAAACTGTGAAGACAGATTAGTCAAGTGCTGAAATGCTGAAAATAGTTCATTATTAATTTGAATAAAGAGGCACGATAGTCTGTTATGGCAACCATACAGTGGTAGACACGTGCTTCGCCATTGCAGCCTCATCATTAGCATGGTGCGCTTTCGGTTCAGCCAATCCCTCACAAGGAATATACCACTACGTATGAAGGAATCGATGCCGAATTACTTAAAATCATCACATGTCAGTTATGAAATCTCCCGACATTGCAGTGACCAACCGTTCATGACTGGCAAAATGAATCACACCATTACTTTCGACTGTTTTTATAGATCTCGCTCAAAACAATACATATATGCATATAAATCTTAGGATATACATACATCAACCTGGTAATATCTTGAGCTTTTCATGAGGCCTATCATAGCACTTATGAATGTCCTCTGCAAGGGAGTGGTGAATCGAAAGTCACCGTGCTACTGATGAGGCTGCCAGGCCAAAACACATGGAAAGCATTATATAAATGCCATAACAGACCTCATGATAGGCTCAAGATATGTTATGAGATTATTTGTTGTTTTGAGCGAGATCTATAAAAACACTCAAATGAGAAAGACGCGATAGTGATGAAAGATTATTCACTACATCACTGACTATGGTTTCGGCTGCTTCGCCTCCCTCAAAGTCTCGTAGGGTGGAATTACACAGAATCTATCTACTCCAGCAATCTCGTAACCCAGAGCGAAAAAAAATTGATACACAAAATCTTGTTCTCATGCTAAACAGGTTCTTTTAAACAATCACCGCTCTAATATTATGTCTTCTCATAAGTTTTGGCACTAGAGCAATAAACACCATATTTATCAACCAGAAGTAATTAAAATTGCTCCGCAGCACTATACAGAGTTTGCGCCATCTGCCTGAACACATTTCTCTCATCTCTCAGACAAGAAATTACTACCACACTCATAGAGCTCGTCATCTCCGCATTCAGGGTAAGTTTTCAATCCTCGAAGCAAATGATTAAAGTCTCGGAATTTTTAATAGCTCAGAAACTGTTTCTGATTCTGCTGATTATCGCATGACTACAGAAAAAACTGATCTTGATTGATTTGTTGTCTGAGAGATAGCGGAAATGTGTTCAGACTGATGGCTCATACTTTAAATAGTATTGTTGAGCAATTTCAATTACCTCTGGTTAACAAATTTTGTGTTTCTATAGTGCTCTATAGTGCTAAAACTTATGAGAAGGACGTAGTAACTGCATTTGTGTTGAATTTCACAATTGTTTGAATATGTCACTATGTCAATATCACGTAAAAGAGATTGATCAAACTAACTACAATCCTGATAATCATTATTTGAGCCACGCATGTCAGTGGTTCGTCAAACAGGGCTGACTTATAGAGCCCGATACACGTGTTTCGATCTTGCGATCTCGTCAGTCGGGCAAACAATGATGCAATGCAATGCAAATAACAAATAAATAACTACAATCCCTCGTGCGAGAATTCCTACTGAAGATACTATTCCAAGAAAATTAGCATAGTGAAAATATCATTGTAAGAGGGCTTTTGAACTCCATTCTATTGAGAAACAGGAGCTCAGTTATGCCATACTATATGTCCTTAGTTATTTAGTTATTCCACGCGATTTATGCCGCCGAACGTATCGGAATTGATAGAAAATTTTACCTAATCCAGCTTTCTAAAGCCTTCATCATCGATACTAAGTTCTTCGTTCTGGAAATAAAAATTTCGGATTATCATATATTTAGAAAATCCTCTGAGTCAGCAATAAAATATAAGCATAGCAAACATTGTATTTCATATGTTGCTATCGTTAGAGTATGCAGTGGATTCTCGAAAGAGAACAGATCGCTTTCTGCGTTGATCTCGACGGTGTCGCTCGCTTTGATGAAGCACTTATAACATTAACCCTTACGGGACCATGGGCCATAGTCCCACGGCCTCTGCGTCTCTGACCTTCAACGTTTTGCGTTTAGCATTGTCGCTTAACCCCCAACGTGCTGCATCTAACAATGGCAAACGCCATTAGACATCTTCGTCAAGCACAACACATTGAAGGTTGACATCATTTTGAACGCGATACGTTAGGTTAGAAATGTGGAAGCCGTGGGTTCACGGTCCTCTAAGAGTCACCTGAAGGCAAT